GTTCTCTCCCCTTCCCTCCTGCAGGCTCGGGGCGTGTACATGGTGAACATTCACCTCTCTGTTGTTCTCTCCCCTTCCCTCCTGCAGGCTCGGGGCGTGTACATGGTGAACATTCACCTCTCTGTTGTTCTCTCCCCTTCCCTCCTGCAGGCTCGGGGCGTGTACATGGTGAACATTCACCTCTCTGTTGTTCTCTCCCCTTCCCTCCTGCAGGCTTCTCACGCTGTTCATCAACCTGCTGAACGACTGCATCGAGGCGACGGAGGAAAAGGATGGTTCGCGGAAGCAGATCGACACCGGCAAACTGCAAGAGCTACGCAACTGCACGGTGCAGGCCATGTCCAACCTACTCAACGCCAACATAGACAGCGGACTGATGCACGCCATAGGTAATGCTCGACCGCGAGTTTGCTGCAGCTGCAGTGTTCGCGGATGTAATCGCAGCAGCAGCGGCAGCAGCGCGTGCGTGGCTTCTTCTGTTATGTTGTGTTCTTATGGCTTCGGGACTTAACGAGCTTAACGAGACTTAACGAGCAAAGCATTCTCTGACTGCCTCCCCCCACCCCTCCCCGCGCAATGCACGATCTATCTCGTGGGGTTAACATCATCTATTCGTGGTGCAGCCTGTTTCATGGATTTCTCGCCACCCCCTGCAGGGCTCGGATACCACAAGGACCTGCAGACGCGCGCGGCATTCATGGAGGTACTCACGAAGATCCTGCAGCAGGGGACGGAGTTCGATACGCTCGCCGAGACCGTGCTGGCCGACAGGTACGCTCACGTACACGCTCCCTCCCCCCCTCGCACCGACCCCTCCCTCCCCCCTCCCTCCCCCCTCGCACCGACCCCTCCCTCCCCCCCTCGCACCGACCCCTCATGTACTCATGTGTGCTTACGCACACTTAAGTTTACTTGTAGATACTTTGCGTACACTTTATACATATTTCTACATGCCTTATTAAATCGGTATCATTTATCGTGTCCGTGTGACGACAGGTTTGAGCGACTCGTGGAGTTGGTGACGATGATTGGTGACAAGGGAGAGCTTCCGATCGCGATGGCGCTGGCCAGCGTCGTGTCGTCACAGCAGATGGACGAACTCGCTCGCGTGTTCGTCACGCTGTTCGACGCCAAGCACCTCCTCTACCAGCTGCTGTGGAACATGTTCTCGAAGGAGGTGAGCGTGCGTGCGTGCGTGGCGTGCGTGCGTGCGTGCGTGCGTGCGTGCGTGCGTGCGTGCGTGCGTGCGTGCGTGCGTGCGTGCGTGCGTGCGTGCGTGCGTGTGCGTGCGTGCGTGTGTGCGCAAGTGAGCGAGTGAGTGTGTGTGCACGTGCGTGCATAACGTGCATGCGTGCATGAGTGCGTGAGTGAATGCTTGCGTGCGCTTATATATATATATATATATATATTATAATGAAGGTATAATAATAATACGTAATATATGTGTGTATTTGTATATGTACGTATATATACATATTATGATATATGATGATAATATTGATACATACACGTGCGATGGTGACTATTCAGGTGGAGGTGGCCGACTGCATGCAGACGCTGTTTCGTGGAAACAGCCTCGCAAGCAAGATCATGGCCTTCTGCTTCAAGATCTACGGTGCCAGCTACCTGCACAACCTGCTCGAGCCGCTCATACGTCCCATGTTCTCGCCCGAGCAGCAGAACCTGTCGTACGAGGTGGACCCGGCGAGGTGGGTACACATAACTCATGTAGCGTGGTTTACGGTTAGTAGTGGTAACGACATTCTACACTCTTCTTCTCACAACTAACAGCATTCAGTGTGCTTACTCCCTCCTGCCATCTCTCTCTCCGTCTCTCTCTCTCTCTCTCTCTCTCTCTCTCTCTGTGTCTCTTCATTTCTCTCTCTCCATCTTTCTCTGTCTCTCTCTGTCTCTCTTTCTCTGTCTCTTTCTCTCTCTCTCGCTATCTCTCTCTCTTTTTCTCTTTCTCTCTCTCTCTCTCTCTCTCT